CCGCACGGAAAAAGGCGTCAATGACGTCACGCTGCTCCTTGGGCAGAGGCCATTGGCTTTTACGCAGTTTGGTTCCCAGAACCAGGTCAATCTCATGACGCGAACCCCGGTCCGGAGGTAGGACCGATGGCGGCTCCTTGGAAACAACGTCTTGAAATTCTTTTACCAAAGGATTTTACGGATCCGAGGGATCCTTCAAGATCGATGATTCACTTCGTGCGTTCAGCACCCTTTGGGTGTCCTTCAGGGCAGCTTCATCCAGAAGCGACGACGAGTTGATCTCCTCAGTCGGTCGTATGATGACCACCATGGCTAAGGACATCTCGTCCAGCTCAAGAGGAGCGTCCACCACGGGAATAGCCTCGAAGATAACGTCGCCGTCTTCCTCTCCTGTCATACCGTTGACAAGGTGATATAGCTGTGCGCTATCATCTACAGTTGACACACCCTAGACGCCCTGCGTCTTGCAGATAACTTACGGCATCGCCATATCTACTCTATAGAGGTTTTACGTCTCATTGAGGCCAGTGGAATACGCGCTCGGCGTCGTCCAGTGTCCCTACTCCTGCTCCATCGGAGCCTTAATGTAATTTGCAACATCAGATGAAGAGCTGCTATTTCCGCAGTATTCGTTCGTGGATAATGTGCCTCTCCACACGGCCTTGCCCAAGATGCCTCGGACTCCATCCAACCATGGCACTCCTGGCATGCAACAACTTCGTCAAAACGTGTGCAGTGCTCCGTGAATTACTTGCCACTTCGCGCGTATCACTCGGGTCTCTTCCGACCATGCCACTCTCGGCATGCAGCAACTGCTTCGAAACGTGAGCAGTGCTCAGTGCATTACGTGCCACTCCACGCGCATTCATAAAACCTCGCCCTCGATGCCTCGGACCTCGTCCGACTATGCCACTCTTGGCATGCAGCAACTGCTTCGTAACGTGAGCAAAGCTTAGTGTGTTACGTGCCACTTCACGTGTATCACTGGGGCCTCGCCGTCGATGCATCGGCCCTTGGCCGACCATGCAACTCTTGGCATGCAGCAACTGCTTTGATTTTTGAGCAGTGCCCAGTTTGTTACGTGCCACTCCACGTTCAGCCCGCGAGCCATGCTCGGGACTCTTGTTCAATACACCGTAAGTGTTCGACAACTCGGAACTCCGATATGCAGCACATTGACCGTCCAGTGTCCACGCCAAAGGCGCTTCTGCTTCAGAGGTGGGCTTATAACTCATTAAAGCTTCACCAGACGACGTGCGCGTGGCGCCTAAGGTCTCCGACCTTCAATCAATCCTTGGCTCATGGTGTTCAAGCCATGCCATACCAAGGATAAGGTCATACCCTGCATCCAAGTCTGAGACTCAGCAGCGTTCCAAGCTATCAAAGTCAAGAAACTTGACACCGAGGTCCGCAGGGACCTTCATACAGTGATACAGGTCCCCGTCGCTAAGCGATTAGTGGGTGTCGAATGGGGAGACTTTCTCGCGCGCACCATTCCAGCGTCGTGCATCGCATGAAAAAGGTGTCAATGACGTCACACCGCTCTTTGAGCAGGGCCCATTAGCGTGTTACGCAGTATTTGGCTCCCAAGGTCAATATCATGACGCCCGCCTCGGTCCGATGGCAGGACCGGCGGCGGATCCTCGGAGACGACGTCTTGAATTTTCTTTAGCGGATTGCGACACGCTACACTCGAACTGGTTCTTGTGAAGAACGACCTTGGCTTAGCTTCCTTGGAGCTAAGAGCTAGGTCAGCCCCGCTGCACTTGGTAGCACACGTTGTCAATTTACGCTTGAGTCGTTACGACTAATCCTCTGTGAAGATAGAGGAATACTACTATTCGCCCAGGGCACGCAGTATGGGCTTAATAAGCTGATATCCCTGCTTGACCCTAAGGGCGTGGACCACCTTGTTATCAAGGCGACAAGCGCGCGCCTAGAGGCGTTTTCAAATTATAAAAATGCTCTGCTAGAACACCTACAGCAGAAGCCGTCGGCGTCGACTGCGTCCATGACGCCACCGTCGACGACGGATGATTCCTTCCGATCCAGACCGCTCGTGGTGAGTGCTAAGAACTGCGAGTGTAAGGGTAAATAAAGTCTCCTGCTTTGGGTGACAGAGGCCGAGATGGCTATGGCATCTGCTCAGTCGGTATCAAGGTCCCAATTCGTATCATACCTACTCATCTAACACATATTGACTTCGCTTACGAAATCCAACTCGCAAAATAGAGCTTCCGGATGATGCCCCAAAACGAGCAACAGCGCGTGGCACTAGCTATCTACAAGCTTGGGGGTCGCGCGCGAGAATGGGCACTAACGTGCGGCGCTTCGGCTGAAACGGCGTTATCCTCCTGGAAAAAGCTGAGGAGTCAGCTTTTGAGAGTATTCTCGCCGCCTAATTAGGCATAACGCTTGCGACCAAATTTCCTTGCCATCAGATAGGGTAAGAAAGCGATAGTGGACTTTGTCCAAGAGTTGAGACCACTCATTGCCGGGATAACAGCCGATCCTCTCCCCGTTGCGGTCGCAGTAATTGTCTTTATGGAGGGCCTTTGCACTGGCATGGTCAGAATAGAAGTCCTCCGTGTGCATCCGTCTTCTTTTGAAGAAGCGGTAAACGTGGTATTGCATGCCAAATTCAACTTTAAGCCGACACGACTTGGTCGTATTGCACACCCTCAGAGCTCGTCGAGCGGGCCTGAGCCAATGGATCTCAGTCATGCTGAGAAAGAGGAGGGAGAGCTCCGAGCTGCCGATCAGGGTTTTATCACCCGACAATGTTTTGTCCGCGGAGACACCCGTCACCTCCGGACGGGTTTTCTTCTGCGCAAGGCGCGTAAAGAATCGTCGAACCGAACTCCCGCTTCTAACCAATCTGTTTTGTCGTGAGGAAACGAGAAAACTCACTAGGGCGCTCCGCGCCCTACTGGGGACAAATTGAGTTATGCTGTGTCTCAAAAGTTAGAGGGCAGCAGGGCCCAGCCTTGACGAGCTTCGTGCTCTTGAACACGGAATGTGTATGCAAGCCGGGCTTACTGGTCGTAAAAGCGAGCGTGAAGGGATTTGAGAGGCCATGGAAGGTCCTTATTGATTCCGAAGCGTCGGGTAATTATGCTCGACGCTCCACGATCAAAGGAAGTTATCTGTATGCTTAGCGCTGACAGCGTGGTTGAGTGATACGTCACGTTTTGTTTTCGGATGCCGAGCGGTATGTGGCGTATCGTTCACGCTTATAACAGGCTAAATGCTGCCACCGTACCGGCACAAACGCCGATTACTAGAAAGGATGTTCTCCAAAACAGTATGGCTGGCTGTACAAAGTACAGCGCACTCGACTTAGTCGATGGTTCCTCATGAGAGCGATTGCTATTGAATTGACAGCGATGAGTACTCCGAGTGGGATGCTCTGGGAGTGACTTGTGATGTCTCAAGGGCTGTCAAATGCACCAGCAACATCTAATCGTCTTGAGACGCAGTTGTTCGGGCCCCATTGGGCGTATGCACAAAAATACTCCGACGCATCTTCGTCCACGGTCGTGCGGGGCACGGGAGGACAGATGTGAATAATCACATCGTCCATTATAGAGCGGTGCTCGAATGCATGTGCACGAATAAACTTATGCAGACAGGTACATCTTCGGCGCTGAAAAATTCCTTTTAGGGTGCTTAATTGGAAAGCGTGGCCTTCGAGCGAATCCTGCTAAGGTCAAGGCCATTTTGGACTGGTCGGTTCCAAAGAAACAAAGGACTTGCGCAAATGGCTTGGCCTCGCCAACTACTTGCACAAGTATAGCGCGTATGCGGAAATGGCATGGCCATTAGCAGATTGCGATCCGCTACACTCGTACTGGTTCTAGTATATAATGTAAGGGCGGTAACCTTTTCTTAGCTTCATCTGAGTAAAGAGCTGCAGCAGCCCCGATGCAATGTCCACCAGGACCGCTTCTTTCTTAAGGAAGCTTTATTCTTTGCAATCCGTGTAGGAATGCCACCGGCGTGATCATAAATCCATTCACTTACTTCAACTTTCATCGATCCATCATGCATCCCATTTTGACCTCGTTTGAACTTCAAACCGAATACGTACTGGGGGACACCGCCAGCGCGCTCTATTGTAATGTGCGTTCAGCGCACTCAAGGAAGGCACACTATCAGGTAAACAGAGCGCTTTGATATATCGAGCACGTTAACTGAATCAAATTGATAATCCCACTCACTACATCAATTTCATTGGGTTGTAGTATTTTGAAGCTGTTTGGGCTATTTCAAAACGCTAAATCTGATTATCTCGCTGACAAATCTAGTTATGACAATGCATTCGGTAGCCTCGCTCACGTCGGCAACGCTGTCACCGATGACAACGAGCTTGTAGAAATGAAAAGAGAAGAGTATTGTTGGCGCCAATTAATACTATTTGCAAATCCCTACAGCCTCCTTTTAGAGCAAGAGTTCTGTCCATTTGCTCGTGCCTACTCAGACACACATTGTGAGCCGCATTTGCTGCATCACGGTTTGTTCTAAAGGATGTGGACTGCAATATCACAAAGTTATGGCTTCATAGGCGCGCATACTTAAAATTGCGAAGGGCAACCAGCATATTTCAATACACTATTTGCGACAAGTGCTACTCCATAGCAAGGTTTGGGTGAATGGTAAAATTCCAGACTTCCTATATGGTTCTCAGAATCGATTCTTGGCTCAACAGCATTTATCAGGATGTGACTCAAGTGAGACATGAGCTTACCTTCGTATGGTGCAAGGCGACGGTTAGCCAGCAAGATTCTGGATATTTCATCTCCAAAAATAATTACCATTTTGACGAGTTAATTTTCAAGAACGCCATTTAAATTGAGGTTGTCCAAAGTGATGACAATCTGACAAGTAGGTATCAAGACCTAACAGTTTGCTACTAAGCAATTTGCTTGGGGTGCGTAGATATCCACAACATTCTTGTGAGGAGCAATGCAGAAAATTGCTGTCTTTCAACAATATAGCAGAAAGTGTCGTCTAAGAGGTTTGTAGCAAAGATATTTGGTGGGTGGCTCACCTAACATGTTCCATATTTGCTGCCCCTCTCATAGATCGCGAAACGTCGTGCCTATTAGAAACTAATATTTCTAAGATCTTTTCTGTTCAAGGATTTGCTGAACAAGCGCTTAAAATTTTCTGATTGAAAATAGACTGGACACTTCTCATTAATATCTGTACTTTGCTCACTAGACAAGCTTCTTGTTCTTGCAGAACGATATCCAGTCACAGCAATTATTCTAAGCCTTTGTCGCATGTAGGGTCGTCATTTGTACAAAGCAAACCATAAATCTAAGACGATAAAGAGATTTGCTGTCCAAATCTTGAGTGTAGTAGTCCTTTAACTGAACGACAAAAATAGTGCTGTATTGTATCTGTCTAGATGTTCTAAAACCGCAATAAAGACTTAAAGAGCCGAGTTGCAGCTGCTGCGGATGTCTCCACACTGTGACAAGGCGTTGAGGCTGTCCTCATTTTACATTTTATAGATTATTCGAGTCAAAGCTGCTTCTGGCCATGGACAGAATTTTTAACAAGAAATTTGTCCCGAAGATAAACTAATAATAGCGCAAATTTTTACGCTTAATCAGAGATTTGCTCACATGTATCTTGGTGAGCACATTAATACTTGTCACTTTCAGCACATAAACCATCGAGATATCTTAAGAGCGTAATTGATACCTATTCTGTATCGGAGCCCTACCTTATTTTTCGACGGTCACCATTAGCATTACTTTACCATAAAAAAACGTCGAGTTCTGCTACTTCTGAAAATTCAAGTTTAAATAGTCAGATTTTGCTGACTTTATGTGCGTCTTTTCGGTAACTCACTAACTGACGCCGAATCTCAAAACATTCTGAAGTAAAGAATCTAAATATACGTATGTACTCTTCAATATCATATGTGTTGGTCATGTTTTACAGCTTTTATGACTGACTGTCAATCATGGGCCGCTTGTGTTCAAGGATAAAAGTCAAGCGTTACTGGTACTGTCGCTGCTGATTCCTTTCAACCGTTGCATTCTCTGGCTCTTCGTTCTAGTTTTAATATGATGTGGTTGGAGTCAATGCTTGAGATTGGAGCCCTCGAGCTCGCACTATTCTTCCTGCAGAAACAAAGCAACGATGTCACCCGGACTCTCACAAACTTTTGGCTTTTCCGAACGTCAGGAAAGCTCATCTATTCTTGCCACTGGCTTAGACGATTATGACTGGGCTGAAGATTGGATTGAGCCAAACAAATCATTGCCTTCGCGATGGCAGATTTTGTATCCAGATAAAACGTCATTTGCTCCTTCGTCTCAATGGAAATCACGTCTGACATCCCTGTCGTCTAGTGTTATTGGAGCTGGTACCGTGTTTGCAAAGCATTTGAATGTGGGCGAGTCAACTCGACGTGCAATCAGCCAACTTCGTAATGCTATTGATGCTGTCTCGTCTTCTCCAGAGGCATCACCGAGAAGCCCGATAGAAATTCAGCACCAAATAAGTGAAGCAGACATTGATTACTTGGGTGACATGGTTGATCAACCTGAAAGAGAGATAGCTGATGATGAAAGTATGGATGTCAAAGCTGGAAAAACGAGAAAGAGCTGAACGGCTTTTGTCGCTCTCAAGTCGAAGTCAAGCCAGACATTAACGAGGAAACTGAAGTGCTTCAACGCGAATTCATCCCTTTTAAGAGGACAGTTGTTATTCACAACGAGAAAGTGCTTTGAATACCAACAATGATGTTGCTCGTCCCAAATTCTTGAACGATAGAGAACGAGCACTCGATTTTGTGCACGATGCGCTTCGCATTGTGTTGCGTTTTCCATGCGTTTCTGAGCTTTGTGAGGTTCAGATCGACGATGCAGCCTTCAGCTGCGAGGACTGACAGTAATCAAGACGAATTCGAGCGGAAGGAGTTTGCTGCTAACACTATGCAGAATGCATTACCTGTGGCACCACGTCTTCGGGAATTTAAAGCTGCGTGCGAGATGCAGGTGGAAGATATTGACGCTGTGATTGCTGATCTTAATGATAAGCATCCACCGTCTTTACTATCAAGTGTACGGAAATCCAAGATGGCTGAGTGGCTGAAACAGTTTGAAGCACAACAACTGAAGGTGAAGAAAAATGACAGCCATTGCAAGGTTAACAAAGGCTGCAATACATCACAATTGTGCTTAGCAATTTAACGAAAACAATTGAAAAGTTGAAAGCGAGGAACGTACAAGCACCAAAGTCTGAGACCCCTGCATTTACATCTACCGCCACCAAGTCCAGATACACTTCGTATTGTAGTATGTAGCTAAAGATTTCGAGATGAAGATTCTGTATCATTCTCAGAATTATAGCATCGCGACTTCCTTTATGTGTATACAACCTAATAAGTCGCAAATCAGCGCTACAATAGCAATATCGTCTAAGCACAAGGTCATGAAATACAATTCCTTCTTGATCGCACCGAAAAAGCAAATGCATCGGCTTGTAATGTATAAATCAGGCAATTGTCAAAGTTCAAAACCGTGAAATAAGAAATAGGCAAAGCTTCTTAAAAAGACAATGCCGCCCCATAAATTCCTGCTGCTTCTGATGCTTCACTTTGCTGACAGCAGTATTAAAGCACAAACGCATGTACAAGATTCAGAAATTACTAGCTTCCTTGATGAACGAGCTGCTTGGCTGCCACTTTGTCTCTATACGTTTGGAGACACTGCAATCAGCAACAATGTCACCATAATGAATCATGTTCCTCATGATATTTGTCCTTTTGATGCTCTCGAGCCAGACAGAAGCCTTGTGACGAGTTTATATTCAGCATCTTCATTCTGGCAGCTTGGAGCTCACTTAGCAAAGGATCGTAATAACACAAAGCGCATCCAGCTTTCGTCAATTAGCTCCGTCTCTGCGCGTGACTTCTTCACAATGGCCGCTGTAAGAAACAAGACTACAAGTGAAGCTGGCGTGACGTTTGAAATGGTTATTCGACGCCGATTAAAAGTCAATCAAAGCATGACACTGTTCTCCATTGCCAATGAGTTCGACAATTGTGTGGATCCTGGGTTTCGTTTGGATGTAAATGAGCATCAAGTACTGACATTTATCTACTTTCTTCCTGTCCTAGAAGAAGGTGATGAAGCGGAAATAGAGGCATGTTATGAGCAGCGACTTTTTTCAGTGAACAATATAGCAGCGTGTCAGCTACCTCCATTGCTTGAGCCGATCGAACGAACACCTCTCGTTCAGATCACTGTTACGTTAGACCCTTCAAGTACAAGAGGCCTCTGGAAGACCGACTTTTACATGAGTTATACAGACGCCGACACAATGGAACGAGTTGACTGTGCAGTGCATGACGAGCAGCATCCACCTAGTTTTCGAATACTGAACAAAGTGATTAGTGGTCGATATCGCTTGTACTTAGGCAACAGTCCTCGCAACGTTACTTTCCCATCACGCCGCAAACATTTGGCAGCAGTAAGAGCTCTTCAGCCGCTTGATAACACGAGCAGCTTAAATGCAACAGAGCGACTTCGCTCAATGTTAAAGCAGAGACTAATGAGTCTCAGTGGACCGCGAATACCCAAAGCGATGCGAATTTTCGGCGACAATTCTGCCTCGCTTAAGATTCTAGGGATTACTTTTCCACCGCTGAACGAGGATATGCCGCTAGCTTATCTCCGAAGTAAGTTTTCAAGTTTCAAAAAGCAGTATGGTGACCAAATTGTCGACTACCTCGTCAACCTGATACAACACAATGCAAGCGATCCAATCGTTGCGCAACAATCACCGACGTTAACTAATCAAAGTAGTGACGGAAAGGATTTTTTTTCTAGAGACAAGCTATATCAAGGTGCAAATGGTGCGTCTTTCGATCTTTTCCACTTTGCCATCTACCGCCATGTGGTGACAGAGGAGCAAATTAACTTGATATCAAGACAGCAGCTACTTCCAGCTCGTAAGTTTCCATCTTTAAAAGAAACTGTACGAATTCCTGAAGACTCGCTTATATTGCTAAACCTAACAATGCTTCATGGGGTATTCAACGACTTGCGTCTTGAGTTGCGGGGACTTCCGGAATTCGGACAACTTTTTTTATTTCCCAACAAAACTGTATTGACTTTTGATAACATGAGTGCGTTTCGAGAGCTTCCATTGGACTTCCAGCGCAGTATCTTTTTTCAACCCCACCATAACCAAAACAATGAAAATATTCCGCTGCCAAACCCCGTAGCGTTCTCGAGAAGACTTAAGCCGTATGCAACAGTTTGCTTTGGTATCGCTAGAAGCCTATTTGGACGTATTGTAAATAGAAGTATGGAAGCCAAAATTGACATTTTTGTGGATGCTGTAAATGACGCACCACAACCCCGAGAGTCTGAATTGAGATTTCTTGTGGAAGCTGGTATTCCTGTCACTTTAAATCTGGATGGTGATGATGTTGATGGACTCCCTTCTGCTGTACCTATAGAATCCAATGTTATTGATCCAAGAGACGTTCTCTTATCCAAATCCACTCTTCTGAACAGTTCAGGTGTTTCGTCAAATCACCAGCTACTAAAAGTTGTAAGGTTGCCGAGGTTCGGCAAATTATTTGACTGTAACGGAAGTTGTGATGCATTGATAAGCGATGATAGACGCGGAGTGAGATCACTTGAGTCTTTTCGAATTTATCGTAATAGTACGAAGATGGCAAATGCGACTCATTCGACAAATTTGACATACATTTATCATGAATGGAGTCAAGACGATTTGATCACGCCAATGGCAGTTGATGAGCTCTGGTACAAGTTATCTGATGGAGATCCTTGTGTTTTTTCCGATGTTGCAGTGGTTAAGTTCATACCCGAGAAAAGGGTATCCACACGTAAGAACGACGAGGTAATTGCCTTTGTACAACTGGAAGAAGACTCGTTTAGCCTGTTAAATCTCGGAGAGCTAGATCCGCTCTCAGCAATTTTGGATGCCAAAACTAAATTTAAGCTGAATCGTTTGCCACAGCATGGTGCTCTCTTTCAGTATGAAAACTGCGAAAACGATGGTACTTATTTGTCATTGGAATGTATTGGCGAGCACATCACAATCGTAAATGCGATTGTATTAGATGTTTTCGGTCGAGTTCTCTATATTCCGAAGCTTGATTACTTCAATTTTGAGCCACGTTTTTCAATCGGGCAAATTTCCAAAGCCGACTATTTTGAGTATCAAGTATTGAGGGCCGCTTCGCAAACAAACGACTCACTTTTAGTGAACGAAAAATCTTTTGCAGCACGATTTGCAAACGGTTTGAAGACGCGTCGAGTTGAGCTCCAAATTGCTAATGTACCCGATGCATTAATTGTGGCTCCACCGTTTCACTTCAAGACGGACTTATTACATGAAGACAAAGTTCCAACGCCTGTAGTATTTGATGATCCCGATAGCATAAACCTCAACGATATATATCAAGTAAATCTGGAGACAGAGGATGGCGGTTCGATGTTAGAGCTGGGATTTTCTATCACTGACGACAATATCATGGTTGAATGTACATTTGAACGCCCTTGCACGCTTCTTCGAAGCCTTAATGGAAGCACAATAAATGAAACGTCGAGCAGCACTCAACCTTATGACCTTCAATTTCACATCGCAACGCAGCTGTACGATCCCTCGCACATCGAAATAACTGGAACAAAGACTGCTCTACATTCAGCTTTATCAGCACTAACGTTTTACGGTGTCTCTCTTAATGAAGCCCGTCAAGCAAAATTTGAAGTATATGTGAAACGTATCAAGGATAATGATGATGCACATCAAGCACATGGCACGTTTACGGTCACGTATCCAGATTTAAGTTTAAGTAGCTCACTTGGAAACGAGAGCTTGACTTCGATACTAAATTCCCAACTAAAGGGGTACGTTTCGACATTTCTTTTATTGCTTGCAGGGTGGCTAGTGCTGTCAAACTCCTCATGCTTGTCTCTTGGATGTTGCTGTTGTTGCCGTAAAGCCCGAAAGAAAAAGCGAAAAGAATTTGAGCAGCAGCAACGACTAGTTCAGGCACAAGTTGCACAAAATGACTCTGAATATTCCACGCTACTCATGAGTCTTGCAAATCTATTGCTAGCGCCAAACTTACTGGTAAGCCGATGTGTATTAAACACGTGTCAGCTATCCAAAAGGAATCGAAAACAAGAAACCGAGATATTAGTTCGGGCCTTTATTTTGCGGAGTTTACTGCCATTGCTTGAAAGTGAGCGACAAGGGACTCGATTGGTCTTTCAACTTATTGCTCTCGAGTACTCGGAAGTCAGAAAAATGCCTTTCAGTACTTTTCGGTATCAAGACTTCATGATGCAAGAAAGCACAGCGAGTAAGGCACTTGTTTGTTTCTGTCGTGCTGTTGGAGCGAGATGGATTTCGTCACTTGTAACCGTATTCGACGATATGAGTCCTTCAAAAAGTACACTTTCAAAAGTTAGACTTTTCATTGATAAAGTTGCAGGACAAATTGCTATCCTACCGCCGGAAATTGTCGTTCTCTGTCGCGCATGCTTCAAGATGATTCATCAGAATGAATGCGATCAAAAACTATTAGTGGTGCATCTCGTCTTTTTTAACCATTTTCTTGGACCAGCGCTACTTTTTCCACACCATTACGTAAAAAAGTTAACGTCGTCTCTTGGGAAACAAAAGTCCAGCATGCAAGATATTGCCTATTGGATCACAGGATTCATCAACAGCGCTGAAAACGCAAATGGTGAAAGCTTTCGCTTTCGGAATACCAGCGTTGACACTTCCCTTCGGAGCTTGTCACTGGAATCACAAAGCACAACAACGTGTCGACACAAATACGAAGCAGTGCTTGAGTGTATTATTCACTCGACAAGTATTGTAAGTGAATACGATCCCAGTGAAGCGAGCGACGTAGATTGCGAACTTATGGGCATGTGTCTCATGAATATTCACAGCCTACTCGACAGCTACTATCCAGAATTCAAACAACAAGTGTTCCTCACATCAACATCAACAAATGTTGGAGAGATAGAGCGCATTATTACTTGTTCTAGTCGTCTTCTCAAGGCACTTGGTTGGCCACTCGCTAATTTCCATGAACTGGTTGAATATGCGCGACCGGAGCTTCTGGACGATCCTGTGCTTTGGACAGGCTTCAGTTATCGCGAATGGAATGACCGAGCAACATCGAGACAAAAATCAGCTCGTTTTCGCCATGTGAAGAGAGGGATGGAAAATGCTAGATGTTTCCTCGAACATGATTATAGTGATACTGAAGAAATTCTACTTGAAGAAGTTGACGAGTTTCCCCAGAGTGCGGACATGTTAAGTATTACCTTTTAATAGTAATTAGAAGTTAATAACAGACATTTCAACACTTAAATAATAATTAAGGGTATCGCAGTCATGGCCGACACGGATGATGCGAGCACAAACTCGGACTGGCCCGTAGGTCCACTGCTTTCGGACTGCATGTCGATGCTCTGTCTCAAAGCTGAGTATGTTGGCAATGCTAACGCCAACTTCATGTACGGTATCGATTGGCTGAACGGTCGCTACGAAGCTCTACGGCGTGTTCGTGGAGACGGTAATTGTTTCTTTCGAGGCTTTATCTTTGCACTATGCGAGCAACTTTTGCCATCAGAAGGCACTGGCATTGATACGAATGCAGAATTGCGAAGCCACATTCAGCACAAGATACAAACGAGTAAGAGCGAACTAGTCGCTATTGGATACAGCGACGTCGCTATCGATGCTTTTTGGGAAACATTTGTGGATTATTTGGCAGCAATGGAGATGCGCTCTCATGCAGAGCTTGTGCGGGATTTTCAGACAGAGGGAGGAGAGTCAGAGTATCTGGTCTGGTATATGCGGCTCCTGACTGCAGGCTATATGAAAAAGAATGAAAAGACTTTCCAACCTTTCATTGAGGGTTTGTATCCTGGTCAGACAGTGGCTCAATTTTGTGCTGCAGAGGTAAGTGAGTCATGTGTTTCCTTACAGAAAATGTTCGCTGATCTGTGTATCACAGGTGGAGCCAATGGGAAAAGAGTGTGATCAGCCCCAAATTGCGGCGCTGACGGAGGCACTTGAAGTTGGTGTAAAAATTGAGTATCTTGATGGAAGTGTTGGGCCTGGAGAAGAACTGCAAAGCTACGTGTGCTCGCCGACATTAACAACGACGAAGCAGCAAATGCCTGTGTCCATCACGTTGCTGTATCGACCAGGTCATTATGATATTCTGTATCCACGAAAGTAGCTATTGTAAAATTTACAACTTTGAAAGCTTTTTACATTTCTACTTCATTTTGATCTCACAACATTTCTTTTATTCTGTTACTTGGTCTTGTTGGCGAGCTTCACGTCATCGGTTGCAATCGAGCTTGCGGCACTGCATAATTGCGCCAAATTGACAATGTTCTTGCATATACAAGCGGGTAGACAAACGTAGAAACACAGCTAGACACAAAGACGGACAGAGCGACTTAACGCATTAACATACGATAATAACAAAGTGTCACCAACTTACCTTCATGACTGGTACGTTGACTATCGGGATCAACACGGTAGGATTGAAGTGCAACACGTAAAGTAGAATGTAAAAGAGCTCAGCACCAACGCAGCAAAAGCCAAAAAAGGGATAGAATCCGTAGTAGAAACGTAAGACAAAGTTGCGCTCAGCTGAGACCACTTTGTGATGGCCGCGACTTGAGTACATGTGGTACCAGTGGCTGGAGAAGTCTAAGATCAGTAGGTACAGAAAGATTATCCAGTACTGAGGGTACAAGTGGGATAACACCAAAAGCAATCCTGCGGTTGAGCAGCGGTCCGTAACCATGTCCAGCACGGCACCATACGTCGAGGCTGCAAACGATTTATATATAAGTAAGATAAAGATAAAAAAAATCTATTGTGCGGTTAGACGTACATTGATTGCAAAGGCGCGCGAAGAAGCCGTCAAAATAGTCGCAAGTGAAACTCAGCGCATAGCACAGAACGCTAACCTTGTAGTTTGTGAATGCGACTGCTAAACTGTAGAGCGTTAGTAGCACGCGCATATATCCGATAAGATTCGGCACGTAAAAAAATACGCCCATTACGGTGCGCTCAGTCATGGTGCTCGTCCGTCCTGACTGCAAGAATGATTATGATGATAATTGTGGTCTTACGCGATAAAGTTGCTTCAACGAATACACGAAATACATTCAGTAATTGATGTAGACTACCCAGCTTTACCGTTCTGTACCGGTAAGTGGCATACCTCATAATGGTCGCTTCATCTCCTGAACTCTTTCGGCTATACCCGGACGCATTGCGTGACTCGCATATCGCCCTATATTCGCTTCTTGTCTTGGCGCCATTAACTTCACTTGTATCGAATGTGCTGCTATACCGAGGAAAGAAAACGTCGCCATCGCAGGTTTATATCTTGTCGTTGGTTGTACCAGCACTCGCCATGTGGTCTCTCATGGTCCGAGCAATAAGCACTGATGTTTAATTGACTGAAGCAATGGCAAACAATAATATTTTTATTTGTACTTCAATTGTTGCAGTGGTATTTACCCCAAGAGCAAAACGTGTATAGGCTTCTAACAGTATGTAGCGCCGATTGTATTGACGCGTGCTTTCATTTCTAACATTTGTGTTAGATGAGTCGTGCAGAATCTCATTATCAGTGGGCACAAAAGTACACTTTTTTTCGGAAGCACTACCAAACGGGAAACTTGTCACCCGAGGCTTGGCACTCAATCGATACTGCTTATGACGTACGTTACCACTGTACTTTAAACGCTACTACTAAGACTAACTTTGTCATGACTTATTTGTTGAATTAGAGCATTTACAATGATCGATCGCGCTATCTGTATGACTTTTGGGGACCTGGTCAAGAGAAAATGACAACGACAGAGACGATGATCAACGTTGGACTTTTTTACGTACTTTGGAGTGCAATTGTGTACGTGGCAATGCTGTTTCTACTATAGACTTACGTGCATCATCTAAGGTTGACAAGATAATTAATCTATCAATGCGTTTGCTAAATAGTTATGCTGTGACAACTCCCAAGGCTTCGCAAGCTGCAAGCAAGATGTCATATGTGGTGCTTGCAATTGTACGTGTGATTTGTCTGATCGAAACAACTATCTACAGTGATTAAGTGCTGTCTAAATATTTTTTAGTTGCTATCTATTGAAATGACGATTCGGATGACGAATTATGATCCGATAATCAAAGAAATATCTCCATATACGACGCCGCGCGAGTCTATATTATGGGGACATTGGATCTTTCCTATTCTTGTTTTTGCCAGGGTCTCAGTTACGAAAGTATTTTACATTGACCTGGATAAGCATCAAGAGCGTGTGCTTGTTCGCATGGTGGAGACGAATGTAGTACGTGACTTTGTATTGTCAGAAGCGTTGTTTATTCACTGATTGGTGTACGTGGCATAAACTAGGAAACGATGAAGGAGCTTCTGGCTCTGGACGACGAGTTGTCGTCAGAACGCGAAATCACTAGTGAAACGAAGAAAGAGAAATAAACTGCTTCATACATAAGAATATCGATCGACAGTATTTTTCTTGTTACTTGACGACTTAGATACGCTCACTATGTAATTGTCGCCAATTCAGTGTAAACAAAAATTTGTTCAGCACAAAATTCAGGCACATACTTGGAACTCATCAGGCAGGAGCCACTCTATCGATACAGAGTCATCTAGCAGACAATAGAGCATTTATAAATATTTGGACATGTAAGGACCATCAATCCCGTAACCCAGCTTGCGATAATAGTTACGGGTGCCAACTCCAGCTATTACAACAAGTTTGTGCGACCCGTGCTCTTCAAATGCAATACGCTCTGCTTCTTCCATCAACAACGTTCCAAAACCTTGATGCTGAAACTTGGTCGGGTCTCGAGCATGAAGAGGAACTGACGAACCGTATACGTGCAGCTCACGAACAATTGAGCACCCCGGAGCAATCTCGTCACGGAATGACGCGACACTAGCTTGTCGAAGACGTAGCAAACCAATCAGAATATTCTGCTGAGGGTCTTCGTAAGAAAGAAACGTTTCCCATCCGCCGTTAGCCACGTAATCACGACGCACTAGCTCCACTTGATCTGGTACACTTTGGTCGTGTATATTCTTAATGCCAACCTCGCGTGTACGCACATCATTACAAACAAGTCCAAGATCGCGCATTCGTGCTAACGCTAATTCTCTCAAATTACCATGTTCAACACCCGACGTTACAAGCGGCATAGGGATATCTCGCTGAACGCGATATACTCGAGTCCACGGTGGTACAAGCGCGAGCAAACGAGCCATAAGATCTACAAGATCTTCAGGTGAGTAGTTTTTGTAAACACCCGTCTTCCAAAGCTCGTAAAGTCCTGTTCCACGAATCACAAGCGTTGGATACAATTTAATGCCATCACTGCGAAAGCGCGGGTTTTCAAAAAACTCGCGAAAACCTGCAAGATCCCGCTCCATCCCCATATTGGGCAGATCTGGCATCAAATGAGCCACAATTTTAAACCCACAATCTTTAGCTAATTGAAAACAGTGCGAGACAGCAGCAACTGTGTGACCTCGATTTGTATCGCGTGCTACATCTTCATACACACTTTGCACACCAATTTCAATGCGTGTGCAGCCATAGCGTAACATGTCATGCAAGTGTGGTTTAAGACAATAGTCAGGTCTCGTCTCGATCGTTATTGCAGTACATTTCGTGAAGCTTTGTTCAGAGTATCGCACAGCTTCATCCACACTCGATGACGAGTGTCCAGACAAAGCATCGTGTAAGCTTCGAATAAAGAAATCACGATATTTTGCGTCTAGTGACAAAAAGGTTCCTCCCATGACGATAAATTCCACTTTATCGACTGAATGTCCTAATCTTTTTAACTGAGCAACACGCTGTCGTGTCTGCAGAGCAGGATCATAGCGAGCACGGATCGCTCGCATACTAGTGGGTTCATAACCTGTGTATGATTGAGTTGAGTACTCAAAGTCCGAGTCGGGACCTCCAGGACAGTAGACACATATATTACCAGTCATCGCAATATGTGGACATCGATGAGGCTTGCACATCACGGCCTATTGATAACAAATAACTTCTTAGAACTGTCAATTCAAGTCTCACAAACGTAATTTTGTACTCACAACGACAGCAATGCCCGATGCTGTGCGTACGGGTTTTGCTTTTAGATATGGTAGCAATTTGTCCTTGTAATCTTCGGGTACAGCAGAAATTATATCCACGAGCTTGGGCGTCGACGGTAGACGAAATTGTTTCGCAACGTCCTTTTTTAAACGCGTCATATTTACAGGTTCCTTACAATGATATGCATTAATGAGCGCATCGATGATACTTGAAATGGCGAGCACATAGCCGCTCGTATGAGTGTCACTTGGCATGTTGTAAATGAAAGACCAAAATCATCATAGACAGAAATTTATCAAATCGAGAAATTTACTGATAGTTGGTAATTATTTTCTAGAAATTTATCTATTTCACGAGAATTTAAAGGACCAAGTTCCCGAGTCAATCAAGCTTTTCCTTTGCAGTTGGAATATGAATGATGTTGATGCCTGTGACTTTAATTAACGTCTCTGGTGATCGCAATACGCGTACAAGCGTTTCAAAAAGGCGAACTTCATCTTTTAGATGCCCCACGTAGCGTTCTTTCCGGGCAATATAGATGCCTTCCACAAGTTCCAGCACGTCTTCAGGATCCGGTAGTTCTTCATATTGAATCTGATACAACTTGCCGCGAAAGAATCCCTTGACAGCACTGCCCACAGTAACCACGACAAAAATGTACACAGCAGTAAGTCCATATGAGCTTATGCCTAAGGTCGTTAGACCTTGAACGATTCTGTCCGACACAGCAACGATACAGAATGGGTACGATGATGAGCAGAAATTTGAATCAGATGATGTCACGACAGGCTCAATAGTCCACCACGTCGATCCATCGGAAGTATGTTTCATAACAGCTACTGAACGCATTTCTGTAGAACGTTGAAGAGCTCCACTATTTGCTGTCAGTTGAAGGACTGCAGGAAAGAGTTTGTCAATTTGAATAGGGGACAATACCGTGCTATTATCATCAGCCACTTTCTGCTTGACCATAGGAATGAGTGCGTTGCGATGTTCATCTGTCATCTTTACTGAGTATCTCGCCGAAATCGTTTCATCATTTTTGGGACCTGGTCGCGTAAATGTAAACGTGATCGTCCAATTAAGTGCTTGAGTCGATTGGAGCTGCGAAACAAGAAGATCCAATCGCGGTGGAGACAATTCCCACCCGTCGTACGAAAACACATCAAATTCGATACACTGTACGGATGCACTGTCCGTATTCAAGTCAACATGACACGACGCACTGTTGCTGTCACTGTTCGTATATAATTGATTCATCGTCTCCTGTTTATCGACAATCCCAAAGACGACAGTTGTTAACGTCACGTCATTTGGAGTTGTGCTCGGGTTAATTGAGCTGAACATAGTCAATGGACCAACAAGACAAATGAGTAAGAACAGCAACATGATACCAGCTGACGTGAGCTTCGCCTTCATCGGTTGTCGCTGTTTGCCTTGAAGAATTTCTGCCTGCTCGACTCGTCCTTTCATACTGCCTTTAACATTGAATAAATGAGCCGCAGTATCTTCCAAAAGGATCCAGTGCTGCCAGCTAAGTGACGTCTTTGTGCAAATGTAGTCTAGCAATGCCCGCATCTCAAATAAAAACGGTGCTTGCATCATCAGTCCAAATAGCGTCTCGCGTAGTGCTGTTACTTTCGTTTCCTCTGTGTAGTTGTAGCGACTACCGAGATAGGCTGGGTATCCGTATCGGATCTGTAACGCACTAAGCCAGAGATACAGGCACTGTAAGAGATAGAAAACCACGAGCGCAGGTCGTTGCTGAAAATAGACATTCATATTGCTTGGAAGGAGGTACCATACCGTCAAGTGCAGCACAATTGTGTACGAGTACTGAAGTATCACCTTCGATTTGAGCGAAGACGTCACGTATGCCACTCGATCCCATATAATAAAGATCAGCTCGACTAAAACCATCAGCACGAGATACCCAGATAGGAGTGACGACGACGAAATTCGGCTGTTTGCATCAGCTACAGAAGTACTGGACGCATCTGGCTCGCCTAACTTCTTGTAAAAAATCACTGCGTATACCGCTGACAACAAAAGCACAGAAAGAGAAGCTGTGTAGAAATCGCATCCAGGTTTATCACCAGTGATAGCCACATATATGTCTTTGTCCCATTGAGCAGGTGGCTTGCAAATGACAGTCTGAAAATAGTCATAAATTTTCGGATACTTTTTCTCAAGCCAGGACTCCTTCGCACGCGCGTGAAATCCTATCTCGGTATCATCGGCATCAATCTCAATCTGCTTCGAGACGATGCCATCTTTTAATGCTTTTGAGGATGGTGACGATAAATCTCCAACTGATGCTTCATACTCAAGCGACCGTCTGGACGACGGAGAAAGCGCGACATGGGCGTTATCAGCGGCAGCCTGCGCCGTTTCAGCCTTTTTTTCAGCGTCAAGTCTCTCTTGCTCTTTAATTTTTTCTAAAACCTGGGCCACCACTTCGCTACGAATGTCTGCGCTGTCAATACTGTGAGTACAAGCGCTCGTCTCATTTCTATTCACATCAGGCACATGTCGACTACTTCGCTGGGACGTTAGCGAAGGGACCGGAGGTATAAGCAGCCGGAGGCTTCTATCACGTTCAAGTTTTTTGCTGCTCTCACGGCAATCGTCGAGGAGAGCATCATCAATTGAGTCGTGAGACGACGAAAAGGAATTCCGTAGTCCCCGCATCGCTTCTGACTTGTACCGTGATGAAGCTTGGATACTCTCTCCATTGTTTGTTTCCGCCAAGAAACCTTGAAGACGAAGCTCTCGTAAATGCCACAATAGAAAGAGCATGACATAAAAGTTCCACTGAAGACCATCAAACACCGATGTGACGCTGTCAATCGCAATGCCGTCGAATTTATATAATCCCAACAGTACCATCGCTTGGATCGACTTGGCATTTGTTTCCGCCTCAGTAGCAGTCATGCAGAACGGTTCAATGCTCGGGTAGAAAGAACCGTTATTTGTTATGCCAGTACAAAAGATTGAAAGTTGAAACACGTAGCGCACTGCGATGATGCAACACGTCTATAAATTAGAACAACAGGTCAGTAAACGTCAGACAAGTCGATAGCCAAGAATTTGTTCATTAGTTCGTACGTAAGCTAGTAAATGGGTCCAAACGGTCGGGGCCGGACGCGGATTCTCAATGATCAAGAACGCAAAGGCAGCAATTACGTACAGCATGTTAAACAAATCCGCCTAGAAACAAGTGTGGTGAAATATCTCAATACTCAAGACTCTAGAAGCTGTCATACCTGTACGGTGAAGCATACCACCAAGGCTAGACAACATAAGCTGCCGCTTTTACTGCGCACTGCATGGATAATAAGCTGTACCAATTCAGCAATCGATGGCTCATTCAAATCATCTTCTTCGTACTGCGTCGATTCGAGCCGAAATCCAGCATTTTGAAATTTGTACAGGAATCTATATACTGGAAGACGCCATGCAAAATTGTTTTCAGAGTCAAAATTCTCATCTTCTGGATCTCCGAAAGTGCTTTCATCCCCGGTCACACTACTCCATTCACTTTTATCATCATCGAAAGGCATGTTTTCATCCGTCATACGACGGGGTGATGCTGCATCCAGTGGATTTGGCAACTGGCGTTCCCTTAAGCAAGCGAGAACGTTATCTTCTAAAGCCTCACGAGGAACAGCAAATGCCATCGCAACGAGAAACATGTTGAATTCTTTCGATAACTCAGATTGAAAGACGTACTTAACGTCGCCACGGCTGCCTATATGTCGCACAACAAGCTCAAAGCAGTAAAGAGACGGCGATATGTCGTCGTACTGCACCTTAATGTCGCTTAGCTTGAAAGAGACAACGTCACGCCACTTAAATGACGTTTTCAAACGCTTTCTGTGCTTACGACCGCGGTGTTTTAAAGCTCTTTCCTCGTCCTGGTAAAATATCAAGTGACTCGAGTCAATGACCACGTACCGATGCAAATACTTGGCATTGATCCACGATACGAGGAACGCCAAGCGTGAAGCTGGGAGTTTCTCACGGCGATATTTCATCCAGCCAGCCGTTGTTGTACCATCAAGATTCAAAGGATATGTTGCGATCGGATCGCTTGCGATACTAAACGGACCTTCTCCCATTCGTGAAACCGCACATACTTTAAACTGATAGCTAGTTCCAGGACGAAGTCCCTCAATTCTAGCCTCACAACGGTCACCCGGAATCTCGACAATGTCTCCAAAGTCGCCTAAAAGCGTCAGCGATGGATATTGCTGTCTTGATATCCGATAATAGCGGATCTTGTGATAGCTGTTTGATGGTTTTTCCCAGGAGATTGTTGCCGAGTTTTGAGATCTCTCAACGACGATAGGCTTGGACGGAGCCATAGGTGGCAAGTTGTGGTGAAGTCCGCGTGCAATGTCCATCAACTCTTCGACTTTGTGCACAAGTTTTGAGACAATAACTTTGAGACGCTGAATAGCTGCATTCTTATCCTTTTTCATCGCATACCACTGCTCGGTTCGACGACGGAAGAAATCACGCACAATGTCGTCGCGACGAATCAATGCACGCTGCTGCTCACTTTTTAAAATTGCGAATACTGTTTGATAAGTTGGCGCCATAAGAATTTCGCACTGAATCGAAATTAATACGAACAGAGCAATCAGACCTTTGGGGGTTCTGTTGGCTTCAACGCCAAGGAAATTTGCAACAGACATGCAGCTATCGTCATTGTTCGCTTTTGATCCAATGAGACAATTGCTCAGTGTAGCATAGACGTATGGTGCATTAATGATTGTAATGATGAACAAGTGAGCCCAAGTCGATTTTCGTAAGTAATGAATCCAAGGATTGGAAGGCTCACGAGCTTCATCTAGTCGATACAACATCGCAAGTGACCCCAACAAGTACACAATTGAAACAGCACCTCCTTGTTTGGCACCACAAACGAATACTAAAAGAAGGAGAAATGGCAACCAATGCGCCAAAAAGATATATTCGAGATAATACCAAACGTAATTTCGCATCATTAAAACGTACGTGATTTCTCCAGAAGACATTGCAAAAGGTGCTTGAGTCGTTCCCTCCGTCATTTCTTCTTCTCCTCTCCGATTACAAATAAGATGGAGAGCAGATGCTGATTCATCCAATACTGAGATCACCTCTTCTTCTTCAGTAAACCTTTTTGTATTGGGTAAGAGATACACACTTAACAGAGCTACAAAGTCAGTCATTAAGCCCCACTTTTGTTGATTGTTCAGCATAAACCATTTTTCATGAGTGTCAGCAACAACTCGCCATGGAAATGTTTCTTCCATCTCAACATCCATAAAAGGAGGCAGCCACAACATAACTACGTACATCGACAGAATCACTAACGAAAGTAGCCAAGCAAGAGCCCACCATTGTCGACAAATGGAAGCTGGAGACGCATACATCATACTATACACAATCAAAAGATAAACGATCGCTATGATATCTTGATGAACAAAACACGATATTGTCAGCAAAAGCATCACCACGTTCACTGATGCCTTGCCAGCATACGTAGCTCCAAAGTGTTTTAAGCGAGAAAAAAAATCTTTATCGTCAGATGTCATCGATGACATGTGCTGTTCACGTTTGCTTTCGGATTCTCCGTCTATATGTGACTTTTTTCTCGAGCGTGCAAAAGTAGAATTTTCGTCATTGTACGTGAAAGCTCTTGCTCGCGTTTTGAAGTCATCGTCATCGTCATCTACTTGGCAAGATGAGGTCGGATGATTGGAATCCAAGTTGTTGGCTGCATACAGAGCGTACTGCTCTTCAAATTTCGCTGTCAATTCTTCCAGTTCCAAGTGGCGCCGTGCAGACGAGGACGAGTCAAAATACTGCGCCACCCGCTGGAAGGAACATGCCAAAATGATCCAAAACTCACCGGCCAGCAGCTTCCAAAGCTTCGCTTTACCTTCGCTATCGCCATAGCGTTCATCTAAGCGGATTGTGCCAACCCAATCGCTATCATCTCCTGGCTTAGCTAAAGCTCCGTATTCTGTCTGTTCGGCATTCATTGTGCTTAATTGAATCATATACTTTAAAAGCATGACAAGTGTTGCAAGCCAGAAAAGAGGGAACCACAGCTGCTTCCAAGCATCACTCAGTGCACGGCCAACAATCAGTACAATAGTATAAAGTAGACCCACAAAATTAATTTGGTTGAGCGCGACCCACATCGTCACAATTACTAGCGCCGTTGCACTGAATGAAATCAAAATTTGCTGGATCGCTTCCATCATCGCACGAAAGCTGTCCGCGGCACGACTACGACCAGGAGTGAACAAATCATACGGCGCTACCTCCTTCATCATTGATGACAGCTGCCAAAAGCATAGACCCGTCAACACCACTGTTGGTAGCAAATATACAAACAAGTCCGAAAGTCCACTATCAGACGTGTGGTACTTAAGTCCAAAATCCTTTGCTGATATGAATGAAGACGTGAACAAATTCATATCTAAGTACTTCGCCACTGCTTCGAATTGATAAACATATCGAGCTACGAGTATCAGAACTTCAGTCAATAGAGCTATTGACCACAACAGTTTGAGTCGTAACGACCTTCTTGGAGCAAACGAAAAACCACCTAAATGATTTCCAAAAATGGTCAAAAACATTGCCAATTGCAAAGCTCCAACCAAATTCGTGCTCAATGTTGTTGGTCCGCTTTCATACTGCACCGCTATGACGATAAATGCGATGTAGCACAGCACCACTCCGCCAATTCGGAACCAGTTATCAATCTCGACGGCCAGACGAGAAATAAAATACACAGGATTTTGCCGAACGTGATCTTTTGTTCGAATGCGTTCGTGATATTCCTCAACATTTGCTACATACATCACAAGTTGGAACACTAATTGCAATATAATTAAAAGCTGCGCGCTAAAAAGTGTTGGCCACAACGAGCCCCATGTCGACCGCTCTCGATTATAACACTGTAGACCGATCATTTCCAGTTCGGAGCTCTTGGTGCAATCAATATTTTGAACAAATACTGCAAAGCAAGCTCCAAGCGCATACAGCAATAAAGCGCGCCAGAGGCGTCTTCGCTGCTCGTAAAATAACATTAAGGCAGCTGCAAGCACCAGATATCCAATCTGAAGAAATGAAACATGCGTACTCAAAGCAACAACTAGCAAACACAGCACCACTTAGCAATGTAAGGTCACATAAGCAGCTTAAATTTTACGCACTCAAAATTGTAGTTAACACCAGTGCATCTAAATGAGTAAAGATGACACGTTTGGCATCTGCAAACCACAGACGCGCAGCAGATCGCCATCCTTCTCGAATTTGCTATAATCATATCGACATTACAAGTCACTCGTCAGAATATTAACATCAACAGCGAAATTTATTATACGTCACATTTCGCATCTTTGCCAAGCGTTCAAAATTGTCCTTGTCACCTCCATCTTTGTCGCGTTTTGCTTCTCGAGCATCAAGGTCTTTCACAGTATTACGACGCTTTCGTGACTCATTCAAAACATCTTGATATCGCCATTGCGTTCGAATAGATAAGGACATGAATACGAGGCACAGTGTATGCGCGCCAATATCTAGAAACGGATATTTAAAGACTCGCAATCCGTATCTAGTGTAATCATCGGAAAAGAAGTTGATCGTGAGGTTGCTCGTGTACTCAACGACCGCCAGAAGTGAACCGTATGCGATCAAAAGCCACATACAAAAAGACGACGACAAGACTCCGAACAGCGCAATTGTTATGAATGCCAACGCTAGAAATGGAGCAGATAGATACGACGGGTACGATACACACCACGCAATTGCCCCTGCGCTACCCAGTAACAGTCCTCCATCCCTAGCAAACGCGCGCACGACAATTGATTGTTTGTTCAGCATTTCCTTGATATCTACAGTCTGAGCTCGATGGCGCTGGTCAAGCAGCGACTCAGCAACATCTGCGTCAACAGAACCTAAATCAATGGCTGCGACTTCTCCGTTTGTGCTCCTATCAGCACGTCTAGTCTCTAAATGCAAATTGTGAAGTTTGGCAGAACTCACAAAGAGCAAGAACAAGAAGCCAGCAAAGAAAAAATACTGCCATTGAACTCCACGTGTCCGAAAATTCGCATACCCTGCGTACTTGGCAATAGTTTGTGCAGTGTCATTATCTGTTACTTGGTCGAGATGAACACAATACCTGATAGTTGCCACATAACATTAAAACCTCTCCACACAATGTCAACTAATCTTTTACGTACCATGTTACAATCATCACAAAACACAATGTGAGCACAAGCTTTGTGATTCGTGGTCCAAGAAAATAGCTCGAGAATTTGACGCCAGACTTGCGTGAGAGCAATTCTTGTATAGTCATTTTCCGAACAAACACAGTATAGCAAACTAATCTCACCAATAACACCACATATAACAGTCCTGAAGCTAACGCTGGCACAGCTACAGACGTAAGCGCAAGAAGTGTAGTACATAATAGCTCCACAGCTCGTAACATGGTTTTTCGACGATCCTTTTTCATTTCTTGGCTATTCATCAAGTGTCCACCCATTTCAAATAGATCAAAATGTTCTTGAGCCAAAGTTTCCTGTTGCTGCTTTTCAGATCGAACATTGAGTCTTCGCAAAACGTACCAATAGTGAATTGCACTACACACAACCACCAAAATATCCACTCCAATTGTTCGAAAATAGTCATTCGAGTCATGCAGGGATTGAAACCCAAAGAGTTTAACGACATTCGCACTGTCATAGCTATTGCCGTCTCCATAAACATTACGAATGACTATGTGGCATACACATGCCACAAGCGCCACAAATAAAGTAAGAAGAGTTACAACATGTGACTGGAAAGAATTCACCACGCCGTAGCAAAAGACGAAAAGATAATACAGCGACACAATGCTTGCACGTGAACCGACGGCCACGAGAAGACACAGAGCAAAAAGCACATCAGCTAGCAAACGTAACGATGCCAATGCTCTTGACGATAAAGTATGTTTTGATTGCTCATCATCAGAGTGCACACTTGATGCATTAAGCTGTGACAAATCTTGATGGATTGAGCCAACGGATGGTGTACCCAAGTGACTGTACACTGCACTATCCTCTTGTGATCGTCTTGGAGTGAGAACGATACGACCATCGGCACCGATAAAGGATGAAGATTGTTGTGTATTGTGGTGAAATGAAGTGGTCATCGACGGTGATGTGCGAGACCGTTAATTACGTGGTAATCGTGCATTAGTATGAAGAGAATTATATTAATAGGGACGTTTTATTTCAAAATCGAGATAGCATTTTAATGGGTATCTTGAATTATATAGTACTTGAATCAGGGGGTACGGAAAGTAACGGACATCTTACACATGTCGAAGCGTTGCTACTGAAGAGGAAGATGGAACTCCGGTCATGCAATACATAGTAGACCTCGTAAAACAGATCTTGATAATAGCCTTGTATCTGGATACACATTGATCATGCTCGAGTCCTGTAAAAGCAAAGTATTTTATTATTTTATTGAAACTTGGTACTGCTCCTACGTAAATCATGCGATTCCCCTGTCCGTTGTAAAAGCAAACATTTTGAGTCAAAGCTTCTCTTCAAAATGTACACGGCAAATCCGTTGCATTGGTTGCACCTGTGATCAATCTAACGAATTTGACAATGCTCTAGGCAGAGCAACAGTGCATCGTGCTAGCGATCTTCAAACTAGGAGACCACAAGCGACAAGAAACTGCAAAGTACAGTATCACTATAGAAACAGCTTTCTCGACATGAAAGTGTTTGAGCGACACGGTGTTCGCAACGCAGAACAGGCGTACCAACGTGTGTGTTCAACATTCGTGTTCATCCGTCAAAGGAGACGAGAGTCAGTGGGCTATGGATATTATTGGCGCTGTCGCGTCAAAACTTTATTAAGAAGCGGTATCAGCTACCATTCTAGGGTCGCCAACAGCCGCACCTGTTTTTTTGCAAAGAAAGCTTCTGTTTCCACCCAACCTCTATTAAAGATACGGTGGGTGTTGACTTATATTTTACGACTAGCTTCAGGCCGATAGATCCATCTGGAGTTCGGGACATGGAAGCTTTACGAGTGCGTCAAAGGTGTAGATCTCGGTCATACTTTGAAGAAAGATACAGATTTCTAGCTACCAACGCAGCGGAGCTGTCTTAACTTTGCTTAAAGAGGCTAAGCTAAGGTCACCGACACCAGACCCAGTACGAGTGTAGCGGATCGCAATCCGCTACCTCCAAGAGTACTTAAAAACCTTAACCAAGGCAGATACGCTCTTCCGTTAAAAATTAAAACTGTATTTAACTGTTTTATTTGCGGTAGAGCCGCCAATATCTAAAACCTTAGGTCTTCCTAATTAATATAGTGATACCTAATGAATATGCATAACTACTGGCAGTCATGCCACGTAGTGGTTTCTTGTTACCGTGTAGCCACACCATTGTGATTACACTGACTTGAGTAATCCACACCTTTGTACGGTCATACAATTTTGTGTGACCCACCCTTTCATACAAGGGTACGTGTAAACCCGTTACACTCTTCCCATTAAAAATGTGAATACCCATAATTCACATTAACTATCGCCTCGTACGAGACTCGCGTGTCTTAGACACCTTTACGTCCTCAATGCCTTCTCCACGCATTCTCAGCTCAATGAGCCCTGTCCATGGCACGAATAACACCCAGTTTAGCTGGTTCCGCGAGCTTCCACGGGCAGAGCCCTTCTTCGTCTCCTGCAGGCGGTGCAACTCTGCAGAGTATGTCTGCGGCTTTACGGATAGCACATTTTAAGCCCTCGGCAACCGGGCGCCGCACACCGCTCCCGCCACAGGCGACGAAGTTTCTCGTTGAGGATTCGGAGGAAGTCTACTACGAGTCGGATACTCCTTGGCTCATGTCGCGCCGTTGGCGCACCTCGCCCTCCTCGAATCTTGGGGACACCGTGTTCGTTTTCCACCCACTCGACTTCCGGGGGAAGTGGTATTATTACCAATCGCCTGGACGAGGCACAGGAGCAGCAGTTGGAGGCTGCCCACAGGGTGGCTCTCATGCGCTCGTATCAACATTCGGTCCTAGACCCTCGTGTGGAATATGGCCACCGCTCGGCGGATCCCCCTACTAAAGCAAAAGACGCGATCATTTGATCGACGGAGTCGGGCCCCCGATCACTACACAAGCCGAGCTTGACATGCGACAAGTTCTCCGAGATCGCTTCTTGGACCACATAAATTCCCAATGGATGAGTACAGCGCTTGAATTCACACTCAAAGAGGAGAAGCTCCTGTACTTGCATTGCGGACGATTCCAGTGGTGCTTGCCCCTGGCGAAACCGCTGCAGATGATGAGGAGCTCATTGAGCGATGGGTGCAGCGGCACCGAAAACGTTCCTTGCTGTCTCACTTACAGTGGAGCCACAAGGGAGTGGACGTGCGCATAGAACGCCAACTTCGATTTGAGTTTGCCAAAATCAAGGTGCGACGCCGACTTCCGGCGTATCGTCGCCCTGCGACACATGGAACTATCCATAATGCTTCCGCGAGCTCTGTGGTTTCTCACACGGGTGAATCTACGACCACAGCAGCTCAGAGCCATAGCTTGAGCTCAGCTCATGGAACTTCGGCTTCCCGGGCTACTGCCGAGAAGCGAGGGGCGCATGACGACGCGGAGCGTCATAATTCTTCTGATCATAAGCGTCCACGACGTCTGGGCAGTCTTGTCAAAGTGGCACCTCAAACTCCCACGAATTCTCGAAGTTTGGGTATCCCGCCACTTCACAAAAATTCAAATCACCATTCTCGAGAAGAGTCGGCGCAGACGATGACTTGGTCGACTGCCGTCCGGTGACTCGCGATACTATTCGAGTTCTGGAGGACAGAGTCCGTCGTCATCGGCACTCCGCTGATCAGGTCGCATAATGCTGTGCGGAAGACTTCGGGATTGGAGCTTTTTGTGCACCGACTGCCTCACATCAAGGACTATCGCGCTCTGTCGAAGCGGCTCCTAGCCGTCGAGTAGACAAATGCGTCACTTCGTGCGACGGCGGAAGCGCCTGGCGCCATTGGAAACAGAAATCGTTGCACTCCGTGCTTAAACCCATTTTCTGGTTCAGCTTCTGGGTGGTCGAGCGCCTGTGGATCCCGGCACGGCTTAAGCAAGCCCACATAAAACACCGGGTGTGTGCGTATACTTCTCGGAAGGTTTAGCGTATATGCAAGGCCTCGCTTTGATACGACCTTAACAGTCACATAGACTGTGGATGGAGCTTTGTTTTAAAGACAGCAGAAACCGCATGTGCAGGAAGGTTTTTAGCATTTTATAAACCAGGTCTCCGATCTTAAAGTTTTCAGCATTCTTCTGCTTCTGCCGTCTGCATATTCTTTCTGCATGTCTTGGCTTCCAGCCATCGCATTGCGGACGTGTCGTAAGACAAGACAGGAATTCAAATACTTCGTTATGGACAGCAAGGGGGCTGACATCAGCTAGCCGCTCGGCTATTCTTTCCCTCCAAGCTTTGAGCCACGGGATGGCGGCGTCAGCGGGACACGACATTATACGAGCTCGTTCACGTAAAACGGCGTGTAGCTGGTAGACGCATGCACTGCATTGTTCAGAGTGAGCTCTACAAGTGGCAGCATGGCGCTCCAATGCTTCGGCGTCTCAGCGCAGTCGCCGCGAAGAACGTCTTCAACGACGCAATTTACGCGATCAGTTTGACCATCGATCTGCGGATGGTCCGCTGTTGACATAGTCAACTTGGCCCAGCACTCTGAAGATTGTCGACTAAAAATTCACAGTGAGTCGTCTATCAGAGACAGTTGACTCTAGGAGTCCATGTTGCCGAAGACACGATCGACACACAGCGTCGCTGTACTCACTTGTCCAGCACTCCTGCAAGATTATCAAACGGTCGACAAAGACCACCACACCTGTGTTGCCCGTCGAGTCCTTCGGAAGGCCAAACTTAAAGTCCATATTCGTGAACTGCCAATACCCGGGAGGTACAAGTAAGCTGGCCAGCGGTGCTGCCGCATTCGGAGAGCGTTTCGCCCTCTGACACGTCTTACATGTGCGCGCATATGTGCTCGTCCATTTGTATAGCTTGATCCACCAGTTATGGCAACTCACAGGGATTTACGACTGAATGGGGTGTCGTGGGCCTCATCGAGGATACGGTACTTCACATTCACATCGTAAGGCCACAATTACTGGCGTATCCGTCGAATCGGTGCTATAAAACAGCAAACCGTTATTCAGCGAATATGAGTGTAACCGTGCGCGCAATCGCGGCGACAACTTCTTGTCCGAGTTTCCAAACTACTTGCTCCCGAGAGCCCGTAGCAGCGCTAGGATCAAATCCGTCACTGATGAACTCACCGTCATGACATGAGCACGCTCATATTCCGACAGCGCATCAGCCAAAGCATTCTGCTTTCTGGCCTATACTTCAACTCGAAGTTTATTCTGCAAGGAGGGAGAGCTACCTGGCCATCCTCTGCGAGAGGTGAGGCGATTGAGTCGCAGTGCGTAGTGACGCATGATCTGTTTAGATCACAAACGGCTTTGAGTCAAGCAGGTGAATTTTGAGCGTGACCAGTGCATACTTCATCGCAAGTAAAAATCTTGACGCGGAGTAAGTAGTTCTTCTCCACAGCCTTAAGTTGGCGAGATTCGAACGCGATCACCCGATCTCGCCTTTTGGCGTCTGCTTGCAGCAAATCACAGCCGATGGCAAAGTCTCAAGCGTCACAGAGGACATTAAAACGACGATCGGGGTCTGGCAACACCAGGACCGGTGTATGAAGGAGGTTGCCTTTGACCCCGTCAAAAACCTCCCGATGCTCGGTGTCTTAACACCATTCCGCATCCTTCTTGGGGAGATTCGACAATGGCCGTGCCATTTTTGCAGTATTCGCGCTATACTTGTGCAACTAGTTGGCGAGGCCAAGCCGCATGCGCAAGTCCTTTTGTTTTTTTGAAATCGACCAGTGCACAATGGCCTTGAGCTTAGCGGGATTCTCTCAGTGGCCACGCTTCCCAATGAAGCACTTTAGACAGGGGATATAATTCGCGCCAAAGATGCACTTATCTGCATCATTATACAGCTTATTCGTGCGCATGCACCGAAGCACCGCTCACAAATGTACGATTTGGTATTCCTCATCTGTTCTCCGGTGCCCCGCA